ACTGAGACACTTTCTAGAAACTTGGACCAATCCATATATACAGCAGAATCAAATAGTAAGTAGTTTGTTGGTGATTTTACAGAATTTTCTCCTATGTCACTCCTTGTGATTTACATCATGTGATGTCACGCATACATAATTAACTATACAAATGATTAAAGCCAGCATTTTTTTTCAAGAAAGGTGGCAACAATAACTTCTCTTGACATACTCTTGTTTAAATGAACACTATAGGGTCAGGAACACAGTCATGTATTTCTGACCCTCTTATGTTAAAACCACCATCTAGCCCCCCTAATTCCCTCTTGCCTCCCTAAATATAGTAAAATATTACTTGAATTCAAGTCTGCAGCTGCCGGCTCTGCCCCTGACTGTCTCTGGCAGATAAGGGGCAGAGCCAGCACAACTCAAACATAGCCCTGGCCAATCAGCATCTCCTCATAGAGATTAACTGAATCAATGCATCTCTATGAGGAAAGTTCAGTGTCTGTATGCAGAGGGTGGAGACACTGAATGGCAGTGCTGCACACTAGGTAGTACTGCCCCAGGAAGCACCTTTAACATCCACAGGAGTGGCGAGTGGAGTTATCCTTAGGCTGTAATGTAAACTGTGCATTTTCTCTGAAAATACAGTGTTTACTGCAAAAAGCCTGAATGGAATGATTCTACTCACCAGAACAAATAAAATAAGCTGTAGTTGTTCTGGTGACTATAGTGTAACTTTATGTATGGAAGCTTAAGAATAATGTATGAGAACAACACTTGTGTGGGCTGGCTGACAATAAAATTAGTTAAGGTAATGCAGAATTTAGTCTCTCTAACACCGTGGCATGTCCCCTTTCTTCTACACTCACTACATACACGTTTTCTCTGACCCCGACTATATACCAGGAGCTTCCATCTGCTAGTAAGATGGTAAGGAGTGTTAGGGGGCAGTCCTTAGAAATCGTGGAGTAGGTGCATGATTTGATGCATTTATGTCAAACTCAGGGTACTGTCTGCATTGCATAGTATGCCCTTAGTTAGACAGCCTGCATGATTGGCAGGCAGCCTGACATGCATTCATTGAAACATATTGGTTCAATGAAAGAAGGAGTTTGAATGAGAGGGGTGAGTAGCTACAGAAGGAGAAAGAATGACTGCAGTTACATGGAATGACATGAGGTACATGGAGTCAGTTAGATACATGATGGGAGTTAAAGATGTTAGCACTGAGGAAGATGGATGACATAGAATGGGGAGTTTTCTGTCTTGGAAATTGTAATTGTTATTCTTAATAACTCTGTTTTCACTTGTATTAATAGAGGCATCGAGAAGAGCATCATTGATAGAGAACTCTGTAACCCATGACCTGAAGGGAAAAAAAAAACAATTGGGAGCCAAGTACAGAAATATATATTTGAGCATTTTTAACAACAATGAACTTTTTGAACTTGTATTCTCAATATTTGTAGAGAGCTTCTTTTAAATTCAGCCACGGTATATGCTCCGCAGTTCACCTTTGCATTGACAGGTACTGGAAAGGATCAATTACAATTATTTTTAGAGTTAAATATGTCCTTATGTATTGTAGATCCTCTTTTATGCATACAATGCAATTGCCCACAATGTCGTGCCATGAAAGCCACCAGTGTCTGCAGCCCAACCTTCAAGTCTGCTCCATTCTGTTCCAGCTAACTGCAATCTCTTCACTGTTTGCAAAGTGGTTTGCCCTGCAGCTTCCTCTAAACTAGGAAAGTTGAGCACATAAGAACTCCACATATAAACAAAACTTATCATGACCACTTCAAAGTAATGACATGGTTATAGTGCCAGAAGAAACTATTTTTTTTTTCCAATTTGAAATTTTTATTATCTTCAAGAAAAGGTATGGGGTACAGAAAAGAAGAGGGAGTGTTAACATAGCATGGGGATGACACAATCACATTTTGTACATCATGGTAGCTTCATGTGTAAGTGGGGGGGTATGTCAGCAGGTCGAGGGGGTGTTGCCAATTGCTCAACTTTTACAGTGTCGTTGTGTATCTATGACAATATCAACCCTGTGGTCTTTCGTGGGGTATACTTTGTGGTAGGCGTGCTCCGCAATGCGAGTGTTGATCGCGTGCGCGTTAGTGGGTATGTTGGAGTTGTCTGCGTTTCCCCGGCTTAGCCTATAGGTTGCAGAGGCGTTCGCAAGCGTTCGGGGTTGGGGGTTATTTTCTTAAGTGTGATTGCTTGGGGTAGGTAGTGGGGGGGCCAGGAGGGGGGGGGAGATTGGATGGGTGGAGTAGGGCAGGGGGTGTTGGTTGGAGTACCTAGCGGGGGATATCCTGTGTTGTGTAGTAACTGTAACGACAGTATGTTTGAAGCTTTGTGTGGTGCCTCGTTGAGTGTTTGGGGTGCTGGGTGGTTGTGTTCTCCGGCTGAGAGTATGCCTGGTTCGGGAGATTTTGTCACTTTTGTGGGTGTTGGGGCTTAGGTCAGTCTTGCGTTTGTTCGTTGTAGGTAGTCCTCCCACATTGTGGCAGTGTGGGGGCTGAGTTTCCCAATTTTCGCCTTGTTCCACATTATTAGTTCATGTTCTACTGTTGAGGTCATTACATTTTCTATGTCTTGGAGCGAGGGCAGCGTAGTTGTTTTCCAGTTTCTGGCTATTAGTATGGATACTGTACTTAGGATGAGGTATATAATTTTTCGAATCGGTTTCGGGATGTTTCCCTGTAACGAGCGTAGTAGGATCGTTTTGGGGTCGAGAGGTAGTTGGTGTTTCGTGACTCGTTTGATTAGTTTGGCTGTTTCTTTCCACAGTTGATTCACCTGCTTGCACGTCCACCACATGTGCAGCATGGTGCCTCTCGCAGCGTGGCAGCACCAGCATTGGTCTGAGGAGGTTGGGAATATGGTGTGGAGTCGAGTTGGGACCATGTACCATCTGAATAGGAGTTTCCTGGATGCTTCGAGATGTGCTGCGCTTGATGTTAGTCCTACATGGGAGGTGAAAATCCTATCCCATTCGGTTGGAGTGATGATGATTCGGAGGTCGTTCTGCCAGTCTTGCATGAACTTCCATGTGGCGTGTACATCTCTGTTAGCGAGGTTGTTGTAGCAAAGGGAGACTGCTTTTTTGGGGGGAATCCGCGACAAGCATTGTGCTTCGAATTTCGTAATGGAGGTTTGCAGGGAGTTTTGGATGTTTGTGATCTTGTTGTTGCTTAGGTGCGCTTTGATTTGGAGATATGCGAACTTGAAGCTGGAAGGTAGTAGGAATTCTTTTTGTAGGTCTGGGAATGTTTTCAGTCCTTCTTTCGTGTATAGATGGTAGATATGAGTGATACCTGCGTTACTCCATTTTTGGTATGGGAATGTTCCGTTGCACTGGTGCAGGATTTGGATCGGGGTTGCCAGGGTCCACGGGTGCGCTGATTTCTCCCTGCAGGCATCCCAAATCTTGAGCAAGTGTCTGGAGGTGTCTAGGGTAGTCGTAGGTATGTGCCGTAGATGTTGAGGCATCCAGAGCAGTGTCGGGAGGTCTTGATTTCCGCAGTGATTGCCCTCTATTGTTACCCATTGAGGGGTATAGCTGGTCGAGTGGGCGTAAATGACGTTTGTGAGGATGGAGGATCGGTAGTACTCTTTAATGTTGGGAAGGCCCAGTCCTCCCAATTGCACGTTTCTCATTAGAAGTGATTTGGGGAGTCGGGGGTGTTTGCCTCCCCAGCTGAAGCGTAGTAGTGTCGTCTGTAGTTTTGTTACGTAGCTTTGCGGGATTGGGATTTGCAGAGATCTTAAAAGGTAGAGGATTTTAGGTAGAATTGTCATTTTCAGCGCCGCTATTCTCCCTACCCAGGACAGGAACAGGCTTCTCCATGTTTTTAATTGGTTGTCAATGTCTTTTAATAGTTTTAAGTAGTTTGCCGGGAAGAGTTCTTTTTCTTTGCGTGTTATTTTGATGCCTAGGTACACTAGGAAATCTTCTCTCCAGTCGAAGTGGTGGTTTGCTTTAAGTGCGTCTTCTATGGGTTTTGGGATGTTAAGGCACATTGCTTGCGTTTTGGTGACATTGAGCTTGTAGTAAGACTGTTGGCTGTAAGCATGGAGTTCCGTGTGAAGGGATGGGAGTGATATGAGCGGTTGCGTGAGCGTGAGAAAGATGTCATCGGCAAATAAGCTGAGCTTATATTCTGTGTTGCCCGTCGGTACCCTATGGATACTGACATTGCTGCGAATTGCTATAGCCAAGGGTTCCAAGGCCAGCACGTAGAGGAGAGGGGATAAGGGGCACCCTTGTCGGGTCCCATTTGTTATTGGGAAAGCTCTTGAGCAGAACCCGGAGTTCAGCACTGTTGCCGTGGGTGTGCTGTATAGTGCGTTGACTGCGGATAGGAAGGGGGCTGGAAGGCCGTAAGCTTGTATGGTTTTGTGGAGGAAGTGCCAGTTTAGTCGGTCGAATGCCTTTTCGGCGTCAAGAGATAGTAGGACACTTGGTTGTTTGGTATGCTTTAGTATTTTGTATAGGTTCACCACCTTCCTGGTGTTGTCCGGTCCCTGTCTGCCTGTCACGAACCCCACTTGGTCCATGTGGATTAGTGTCGGTAGGATTGTTTTGAGACGTTCTGCATATATTTTAGCATACAGTTTTGCGTCAGCATTTAAGAGGGAAATTGGTCTGAAATTTTGGCTTGTAGTGGGGGGTTTACCCGGTTTGGGGATGGTGATAACGTGAGCTGATAAGAATTCCTTTGGGAAGGATCCACGTCTGGTGGCCTCATTGTAAAAGCTAGTGAGGGCTGTGATCAGTTCGTGTTTGAAGGTGGTGTAGTACACGTTGGTGTAGCCATCTGGGCCCGGTGCCTTCCCTTTTGGCATTTTGTCTACCTGGCAGAGAACTTCGTCAGTGGTGATAGGGGCGCATAGGTCCTCTGCTTGATGCGCTAGGAGTTTGGGAAGGTTTAGTTTTGCTAAGTATGTGCGTTTGGAGGAAGGGGTGGGTTGTGTCTGGTTTTCTTGGTCTTTTAAGTTGTATAGTGTGGTGTAGTAATGTGCAAATTCGTTACAAATCTGCGTTGGTTGCATAACTTTTTTGTATTGAGGTATGGAATTCGCGTCTGAGCTTGTTTTACTCGCAGTCTTTGAGCCAGTGTTTTTGTTGCCTTGTTTCCCATGGAGTAGGAAGTAGCCTTGAGTTTTTTCAGTGCGATACTGGCTTTCCTGAGATGGATTTTTTTGATTTCTTCCTGTACCGCCTGTATTTTCAGCTGGAGATTCCGAGAGGGATTCCCTTGGTTCTCTCTATGGAGGTCTTGGACTTGTTTCAGGAGGTTGAGCAGGTGCGTGTGGGTTGATTTCTTGAGGTAGGATGCTCTGCTGAGGAGAAGTTCTCGGATGACCGTTTTGTGCGCAAGCCATAGCGCAGCTGGGTTTGTTCATGTGATATCGTTGGTCATGAAGTACTGTCGGATTTCGTTGCGGAGTTTGTTCGTGAATTCAGGGTCATTAAGCAGAAGTTCGTTCAGTCTCCAAGGGCTGCGATGTTTGTATTGGTATAGGTCTATAAGGGTGAGTAGCACCGGGTTGTGGTCCGAGATGGTTGAGGCGCTTATCTCACTGGTGTCGATCTGGTGAAGGTGTGCGCTGTGCATTAGGTATCCATCTATGCGGGAGTACGTGTTGTGTACTTGTGAGTGGTGGGTGTATTCCCTAGAGGTCGGGTGGAGGGTTCTCCATATGTCGTATAATCCGTGTGAGGCTAGTGTTTTGTTTAGGGCAGTGCATTGCTTGTGCAGGAGTTTATTTCTTTTGGGTGTGTGACTCGCCGTCGAGTCTGCTTGTGGGTCAAGAATGTGGTTGAAATCTCCGCATAGGATCAGGGTTCCAGTGCGTATTTGTTCTATTTTGTCCAATAGTGTGGACATGTAACTGGGTTGATAGTCATTTGGAAAGTATGCGTTAGCTAGTGTATATGTAACGTTGTTTAGCGTGCATATGAGGATGATATATCTGCCCTGTGGGTCAGCTTGGACTGTTACTTGGTCATACGCCAGTGTGTGGCTTATTAAGATCGAGACTCCTCTGCTTTTGGATGGAGATGTGGCATGGTATTGGTGAGGATAGTGTTTGAGTCCTAAGATGGGTGAGGAGTCGTGCCGGAAATGGGTTTCCTGCAGGCAGATAATGTCAGCTTGTGAATTCCGAATTTCCTTGAGAAGGTTATATCTTTTATGGGGCGTGTTTAGTCCCCTTACATTGTGCGTGTACACTTTCATTGTGGACTGATTAGGAGGGTCAGTGGGAGTAGAGTGGCCCTTTGTGTGGGGTCTTAATGTGTGTTTCGTGTATGTCAGGTCACCGCGCGGTGGTCAGTTTGTGTGTATACCTGGTATGTGGGTGCTGCCGCTAGGGGGGCTTTATGTTGTGGGAAAGGAGTGGTTGTGGTCTCACTGTGTCCCGTCTTGTGTGGCAGGTACTATCAGTGGACGCGTAGTGTCACGGTATATAAGGGGGGGGGGTTAAGGCACCAACTGGGTGCCATAGGTAGGTGGTGGAAATCAAGGGAGGGGAGTCGAACAATAAACTAAAGTATATTACAATGGTCACTTTCAAGGGTATGTGCCGCGAATGGCACTTCGTCTTTGGGGGTAAAGTGGTCGGGTCGGGTCCAGCTGATGGCTGTTTTGGGCCCTTGGTGTGTAGGCTGTCCCACTGGGTGTGTGTTTACGGGGCTTTTTCCCTGTGGTGTTCAGCTTGGTTCAGAGAAGGGCATTGTTGCGGGCGGGGAGTGAACCCATCTGTGGTGGCTTATGTATCGGTTCCTCGGGCAACATTCAGGAGGGTATTCCGGGAGGGGGGAGCGGACGGTCCAGTGTGGGGGGCCGACTCAGCCGGGCCTATTGTTTGCCCTGGGGTTGCGGTGTTGCGTTTATGCGGCCCTATTGTGCCCTTTCGTCATGCAGGGGTACAATCTGTACATACATCTCGGCATTGTCATTTCTATCATATGCACATCCAACTCTATTGTATAAGTCCGAATGCATCAGTTAAATATCACAAAGCATTACATCATGGTACTCTTTATGTTCTCTACATGTGCTTTAGGGGCTGATGTGGGCATGCACACTACATTTTGAAGGGGATGGGCCTCCTGTCTGATGTGTAAGAGCAGTAAGTCACACTAGTCCCTCCGCCCTGACCCCTCCATGCCCTATTTCCCAGCACTACGGGTAGGATAGGTCCCGTGCCCTGGTTCGGGTGCTGTCTCTCACTACGGGCCTATTCGTTTTAGGGGGGGTAGTTACCCAGGTGGAACGTCACTTGTAGCCCCGCACATTACGTCTCCCTTGCTGGATCAATTTGTAAAATTCTCTAGGGGGATTTGACTGGGTCTCACTAATTGTCAGGTCCAGTCATGATCGTTCACTGCATCTTTCTATTGTGCCCTTAGAGTTAGTTTGTGTCTGCAGTAGGGTGGCGCCGTGCGGTTAATGCCCGGGGTATGGGTGGATTAAAACCTCCGTATGGGATATCACCAACATTTAAATTAACATATTAACAGAATGCAGTATAAGAAACAGAATAACACTTGCTAGTCCTTGGGAAGTTAGCGATCTTCCTCTCTGTGCGCCGCTCGTCGTTGCCTTTGTGGGCGCCAGTCAGCCCCTGGTGCCGTGCTTGAGCTTGCGTGGTGTAGGTTCTGGGCTAGGCCCCATTTGTGCAGGAGATCT